TTAGACTGTATATACATAAATCATTTGATTTTAATTTAAAAAGCAACTTAAGTAAAATTATGCTATCCTAAATTTTTTCTTTTTATCCCATGTCTCTTTAAAAATGTATATGAAGCCCACCATTAAGATTTATTTGTCTGTGAAATGTATACATGTTCAGGAAATAATTTAGACATTTGTAGATATATTTGTAGCCTTTCTTTCCCATGCTTTTTCTACTTCAAAAAAATTTAATCGTTTGGACTTCGTATTTTCTTGAAAAGGTTGTCGTCGTTCAGTCGCGTCTGACTGTGACATCATGCACTGGAGCACGCTAGGCCTCCCTGTCCCTCACAGTCTCCCAGAGTTTGCTCAAATTCCTGTCCATTGATGCTATCCAGTCACCTCATCCTGTGTTGCCCTCTTCTCTTCCTGCCTTCAGTCTTTCCCAGCATCAGGGTTTCTTCTGATGAGTCAGCTCTTCACATCAGGTGGCCAAAGTATTGGAGCTACAGCATCAGTTCTTCCAATGAATATTAAGGGTTGTTTTCCTTTAGGAGGACTCACTGATTTGATCTCGCGGTCCAAGGGACTCTCAGGAGTCTTATTCAACACGACAGTTCGAAAGCATCAATTCTTTAGTGCTCAGCCTAAGGAGCACTACATAAGGAATTGTGTATGGTCCAGCTCTCACATCCATACATGACTACTGGGAAAAGCATAGCTTTGACACTGCAGACCTTTGTTGGCAAAATGATGACTCTGCTTTTTAATACGCTGTCTAGATTTGTCATAGCTTTTCTTCCAAGGAGCAAGCATCTTTTAATTTCATGGCTGCAGTCATCATCTGCAGTGATTTTGGAGCCCATGAAAATAGTTACTGTTTCCGTTTTCTCCATCTGTTTGCCATGAAATGATGGGACCAGAAGTGATGATCTTAGTTTGTTGAATGTAGAGTTTTAAGCCAGCTTTTTCATTCTCTTTCACCTTCATCAAGAGGCTCTTTAGTTCCTCTTCACTCTCTGCTATAAGGGTGGTGTCATCTGTTTAACTGAGGTTGTTGATACTTCTCCTGGCAGTCTTGATTCCAACTTGTGCTTCCTTGAGCCCAGCATTTCTCATGATGTACTCTGCATCTGAGTTAAATAAGCAGGGTGACAATATACAGCCTTGACGTACTCTTCCCAATTTTGAACGAGTCAGTTCTTCCATGTCCTGTTCTACTGTTGCTTCCTAACCTGCATACAGGTTTCTCAGTAGGCAGGTAAGGTGGTCTGGTATTCCCATCTCTTTAAGAATTTTCTATTGTTGTTGTGATCCACAGTCGAAGGCTTTAGTATAAATGAACTGGAAGTAGACATTTTTCTGGAATTCCCTTGCTTTTTCTGTAATCCAATGGATGTTGGCAATTTGATCTCTGATTCGTCTGCCTTTTCTGAAATCCGGCTTTATACATTTTGTACAGGTGGAGTTTTTAAACTTTTTATTCGTTTATATTTAGTCTTTATTTTTATATTGAAGTATAGTTGATGTTCAGTGCTGTGTTAACTTCAGGTGTATAGCAAAGTGATTCAATTACACATACACATATATCCATTCTTTTTAGATTCTTTTCCCATATAAGTTATTACAGAATGTTGAGTAGAGTTCCCTCTGCTATATAGTAGGTCCTTGTTAATTATCTGTTTTATAAATAGTAGTATGTATATGTCAATCCCAAATTCCTAATTTATCCCTCCTCCCACCATTTACCCTTTGGTAACCTTGAATTTGTTTTTGAAGTCTGAATCTGTTTCTGTTTTGTATGTTAATTTGTGTCATTTTTTTTATTCCACATATAAATTTATTTCCTCTGTCTACTTAGTATGATAATCTCTAAGTCCATCTATGTTGCTGCAAATGGCATTATTTCATTTTTTTTATGGCTACTGTTCCATTGTATGTATGTGTATGTATGCCACATCTTCCTTATCCATCTTCCGTTGATGGACATGGTTGCTTCCATGTTTTAACTATTGTAAATAATGCTGCAGTGAACATTGGGGTGCAATGTATCTTTGATTTATAAATTTGTTTTCTCTGGATATATGCCCAGGAATGTGATTGGTGCATCATATGATAGTTCTATTTTTAGTTTTTTAAGGAACCCTCATAGTGTTTCTTCAGTCGAATTTGGTATTCTAGTTGATTTCAAAAAAGAGTGTTTGAGAAAAGCCAGATTATATCACATGAGTCAGATTTATTTTAAATTTCTTCTAGCAATTTCCATAAGTGGCATGATCCTTTTGCCAGTGACTTGCCATTATTCAGGTACTAATTTACTAAAATTTACTGTTGTATATGTTTGAATCCAGAAAAATGATACTTTTTTCTAGATAATTGTCAGTGATACTGTGAAGACACAGTATCTTCACATGTGTTTATTTGTAGTCAGAGTTAATTTTGTCCTTTTTAAACATGGGAATAAATGTGTTGTTACTAAAGATGTTTTTAGTGGATGTTTAGCCACAGAATCACATAAGTGATTACCAGACAAAAAACTGTGAAACTGTTAATTAATTGAGAATTAATTGAGAATTGAGGGGAATTGGTAACAGTGGGTCATAGTGATGTGATCCTTCAATTTAGAAGAAGTCTGCTGCATAAATCTGATATGCTCAAATCTCTTAATCTCCTTTTGCCTCCTTTGTAGTTACTGTTTTTATCTTGGTGCACAGTGTAGCTGACTTACTCTTCTCTTTAAGTTTTCTCTGTTTAAATATTAGGTTTATTGTGCTCTTTTGACATAATTTGCAAATGCTGACCAAATGAATATTTATTTCAAATTTCAAGTGGTTTTTGAAGACTGTGTTGCAGATTTTACACTTTTAAAAATATTTTGTATATGCATTTCTATATAGTTTTTTTAAAGAAAGCATGGTTCTTAGTTATTTGTATGTACACTAAGGGCTTTGATGTCATTTTCATGATAAGGAAGACAGACTCATTGAAAATGCTTATCCTTCTTTCATATGTGAATGCTACATGCCTGCAGAATAATCCCCACTTTGGTGTTTTATGCCTTTTATGGTGTGCTTGGAAGCTAAGAAGCTCTTAAGTGTTTTTAAAGGTACCATGAAAATGTTCTGAGACTCTTAAGTTACAATTAGAATTAATTTGTGATTCACTATAGACTTAACTAGGGCCTCCCTTGTGGCTCAGCTGGTAAAGAATCCACCTGCAATGTGGGAGACCTGGGCTCAATCCCTGGGTTGGGAAGATCCCCTGGAGAAGGGAAAGGCTACCCACTCCAGTATTCTGGTTCAGAGAATTCCTACAGACTGTATAGTCCATGGGGTTGCAAAGAGCGACTCACTTTCTGTAGAGTTAACTGACTCATAGATAAAGCACTTAGTTTGTGTTTTGCATTTAGTTGCTTTTGAATCTTTTCTAGTTATTCTCTCATACATTTTTTTAAAGAATGTTGTTTACCCACTATAGAACTTCATTAATTACAGAATCAGAAACTAGTTTTTGCCTCTGGACAACCTAATTTTCTTCCTAGGAAGAAATAACTTGGAGAAATTATGAAATACTTAATCTGTAGCCTGTTCAGAGAGAGCATTTGGTAAAAATAAAATGTAAAAAGCTGTTTAGAAACCTCTCCTTATAAATCAGCAAGACAAATACTGAAAATGTCAAATTTTAAAGAATCATTGGATAGTGATAACTGTTACAGGTGAGGGAGTAAATATTACCTGTTTTCTCTGGGACTACAGCATTGAAATCAGAATAGCATTTAGTTTTTCATAACAGTCTTTGGTATATGTTGCAAATTCAGTAAGGCAAGCAGTTGTTTTGAGCAAAATTCAAACCAGTAGAATGTATCTGATCATTGTTGTGATAAGCTTCTTAATGAATTATGTTGTTCTTAGATGCAATAATTTTCGTATTCTAGTAAGATAATTAAAATTCTACCTGTAAGTAAAAAATTTTGCTGTTACTTGATGAAAATCAATTAATTTTCATTAGCATGTAGATACTATAGATGGCATATTTTCATTGGCATATAGATACTTCATAACATTTGATATATTTAAATTGGCAGAATGGTGATTTTCTTTAGTTTTTGTTGTTGGGTTGATGGGTAGTACTTTCATTAATAGGAAATTTTAAAATTAATTTTTAATAAGCACAATTTGTCTTAATTTATTCTTTGTATAGTTTCTCATAACTGTGTGGAAACCTCCAATGCACTGTATATTTGATTCTCATAATTTTATAAACTGTGCAATAAAGGCCTTATTATCTCCTTTTTGTACATTAGAAAACAAGCCTAGGGAGAGGCTTGATCAAATTCTTGTAAGTTAGTTAATTGTCTTAATTGATGTGATAAAACTTTTTAGTTATCTGTTTGAGATGGTGAAGAATCTGCCTGCAAGGTGGGAGACCAGAGTTCAGTGCCTAGGTCAGGAAGATCCTCTGGAGAAGGGAGTGACTTCCCACTCCAGTATTCTTTGCTGGAGAATTCCATGAACAGAGGATCCTAGTGAGCTACAGTCAATGGGGTTGCAAAGATTCAGACATGATTAAGCAATTAACACTTTCACAGTACCCATTGTACTTTCATAATTAGCAGTGGTGCTTAGTGACTTAACGCTAGAAGAAATGGGTGTTAACCTTGGTTAGTATCATGAAACCTGTTTTGTCATTGGAGTAACAGTGGAAAGTAAGATGTAAAAAAAAAAAAAAAAAAAAAAAGTGACTAATTTTCAAGTTTTTTCCTTACTTTCATTGCCTGCCCTCTGGTGGAGAAATTTCTGAAATCAGCTCACAGAGTGTGAAAAGTCCAGGAGAAAAGTTAGTAATTGTTCAGTATTTAAAAAGTTTATTCTGTGTTGCCATTTCAGGTTTAGTTTTTATTCTTAAAAAGTTTGGAGGGGACAAATGAGGGATTAAAATTTTAAGGCTAGATTTCTTAGAAATATACAAATTTTATTTCTGATTATGTTTGTTTCTCAAAATATTTTGTTGTTTCTAAGGCTCTTACTGAAGTCTCACAAAGTTTAAAAATGGAAAATGAAGAATTTAAGAAGAGATACAGTGATGCTACGTCCAAGGCTCTCCAGCTTGAGGAAGATATTGTGTCAGTGACTCACAAAGCAATTGAAAAAGAAACTGAATTAGACAGGTATTTCTAATATTTTAAAAACATCTTCATGTTTTAAAAATGTTTTAAGAAAGTTGTTTTTGTTTATGTTAATGTTATTTGACTTTAACTCAGTTTAAAGGACAGACTCAAAAAGGCACAGTGTGAAAGAGAACAACTTGAATGTCAGTTGAAGACAGAAAAGGATGAGAAGGAACTTTATAAGGTAATTTATTCCTCATATTTTTATTAGTTACTTTTGCTGTGTAGCATATTGCCCCAAAACTTAGTGTTCAGGAATTTGGGAGCAATTTAGCTGAGTGGTTCTGGCTCAGAGTCTCTTGTGTAGTTGGAATCAAGATGTTGGCAAGGGCTGAAGTCAGCTAAAGGCTCAGTTAGAACTGGGGGATGTGCTGTTAGAGTGGCTCACTTAACATGACTTTTGGCAGGAGACTCTTCAGTTTCTTGGAATGTTGCCTCTTCAAGTGGCTGCTTGAATGTCCCCACAATATGGCAATCAACTTCCCTCAGAGTGAGCCATACAAGGGAGAGCAAGGAGGAAATCAATGCATTTATGACCTGGTCTGCAAGTTGTGCACTGTTATCTTACTAATTAGAAGCAAGTCACTCCAGCTGATACTGGAGAGGGGAATTAGGCTCCACTTCTTTAAGAGAGGAGAATCATAGGATTTAGGGATATATTTTAAAACTACCTCATTGTGTGTAGTCCCTAAAAGTTTTCAGGAAGTTTAAGTTACTGGTGTTTTAGATACTTAGCAGGTAATGTATAATAATCAGAGATTTTTAATGGTAATAAGATACCTGTTGATCAGGATTTGTGCAACTAATTTTCTCCCTTTTTAGAATATATAAACATTAGTGAGAGGATTAATTTATTTCAATGATGATCATATTTTAGAATTTGTTTTTTGGAATTATCTGAGAGACTTTCATTTTAAAAAAGGATTCTGTAGACAAATCTTCACTGTTTAGAGTTTTTTCTCCTTTTCTGTTAAAGCAACTCTAAAATAGGATAGTGAGTGTTAGTTGTCAATATTTCACTTAGATCCTTCCATGTTGTTGCTGATGGCAAAGTTTTTCTTTTTTTATGGCTGAGTAATATTCCTGTGTGTGTGTACACATACACACAGCATCTTCTTTATCCTTTCATCTATTGATGAGCACTTAGGCTGCTTTCATATGTTGGCTATTGCAGATAATACTGCAGTGAACGTAGGGGTACTTACATCTTCTCAAATTAATGTTTTGTTTTCTTCAGATAAATATCCAGGAGTGGAATTGCCAGATCACATGGTTCTACTTTTTAACTTTTTGAGGAATCTTGCTACTGTTTCTCTTTAGTGACTACACCAATTTACATTCCCAGCAGCAGTGCAGAGAGGGGTCCCTTTTATCCACATTCATGCCAATACTTGTTATTTATTGTCTTTTTGTTAGTAGCCATTCTCAAGCCTGAGGTGATGTATCACTGAGGTGGGGTGTTTGATTTGTATTTCCATGATGATTAGTGATCTTGAACACGTTTTCATTTGCCTGTTGATCTTCTGTATGTCGTCTTTGGAGAAATGCCTGTTCAGGTTCTCTGCCTGTTTTTTGATGAGGCTTGTTTTTTTGATATTGAGTTGTATGGTCTCTTTGTATATTTTACATATTAACTCCATGTTGGTTGGATATATCACTTCAGATATCTTTTCCCATTCAGTAGGTGTCCTTTTCATTTTGTTGATAGTTTCCTTTGCTGGGGAAAGGCTTTTTAGTTTGATGTAGTACTATTTTTGGCTTTGATTCCCTTGCCTGAGGAGGCATATCCAAAAATTTTTGCTCAGACTGATATCAAACAATATACTGCCTTTGTTTTCTTCTAGAAGTTTTACGGTTTCAGGTTTTACATTTCAATCTTTAATCCATTTTGAGTTTATTTTTATATGTAAGGTGTGAGAAAGTAGTTTGGTTTGATTCTTCTGCATGTAGCTGTCTAGTTTCCCCAACACTACTTGTTGAAGAAATTTTCTTTTCCCTGTTGTAATATTCTTGCCTCCTCTGTTATAGACTAACTGCTTATATAAGTGTGGGTTCATTTCTGGGCTCTGTTCTGTTTCATTGATCAGTGTGTCTGGTTTTGTCCACTACCATACTGTTTTGATTACTCTAGCTTTGTAGTATACAAAGTATAGTTAATGTGATATACTGCATTAAAAAAATAAAAAATAAAGATTATATGATCATCACAGTAGATGCAGGAAAAGCTATTATTAAAATTCAACATATGTTTGTGATAAAACCTCTCAACAAAGTGGTTAAGAAAGAACATACCTCAACGTGATAAAAGTCATATACTTCAAGGCCACAGCTAACATCATAACTACTCAGTGGCGAAAAGCTTGAAAAGGACTTTCTCCAAGATCAGGAACAAGACAAAAATACTGACTCTCATCACTTTTATTCAGCATAGTATTGGAAGTCATAGCCATCGCGATCAGACAAAGAAAGGAATTCAAATTGCAAAGGAAGTAGTAAAACTGTCACTGTTCGCAGATTATATAGAAAATCTGCAGATCCAGTGCATTCCTGTCAAAATATCAATGATATTTTTCACAGAACTAGGACAAATAATTCTAAAATCTGTTTGGAAAAACAAAAGACCCTGAATAGTCAAAACGAGAAAAACAGCTGGAGGTATCATGCTCCCTTATTTCAAACAGTACCACAAAGCTACAGCTGTTTCCCTCTTATTTTGGGGGGTGGTTAATTCTTTTTTAATCTTTAAAAATTTTTGCTTTGAAAATTAAAGAAAAAATCGAGTCCACTCTGCACCTCATTGCAGAACATGGAAACATTTTGTATGTTTATGGGTTATACCCATTCTATTTCTTGAAACAACCATCTTCAGAGCAAGAGAGAGAGTGTGTGTATGAGAGAGAGAGAGGAGAGAGAACAGGAAATAGTAAAGACTCACTGGTGGATGATTTTATGGTTTGACTCTTTAAGGAGCAGTGCCCAAATACAATATTTGGTTTTTGAACAGATTTTGTGAAAAAGGGAAATATTAATAATACCGATATCTAAGGAAAGTTGCAGTTGCATACTGCAGTTGAAAGTTGCAGCATGCAGTTGTGTACAGTATTTTTTAAAAATTACTTTCAAATGCAGTTTAAATTTTAAAGATATGTGTACTCTTTATAATTTCAGTTACAGAATTTGATTTGCATATGTACTGTGAATAGCAGCAGCCAGAGTTCTTGCGAAAGATCAATATAGTTGGGTTAATTAATCAATAAATGTATTTTTTAGGCACATAGGAAGTAAATGACATAGTACTTTTTCCATAAGCAAGAAATTTAATTGCTTAAGGTATCGTTCTTGAATACTTTGTTTTTCTTGAATCTGTTCATGCCTTTATATATGAATGTGCCTGTAACACGTTTCCCCAAAAGAAAAACCAAATTCATTTGTAATTTTAAAGAGAACTAATGTAAAATTAGTAAAAGGGAAGATTTTAAAGATCAGGTAATGTTAGACCTTAGAATTAATCTCTGTGGAAAACTAAAACAGCAATAGCAAAACTCGGAAAAGCTGTGTTCTGCTTCCATATACTTGGGTAATCATTTGGCACAATTTGCTTTCCTGACTCCTTGCTTAGTGAGTCTTTCCTCGATCATATTTGGGTTAGAGATAAATAGTGATACTTTAAATTATTGAGTAACTTAGGCTGTGGATGTGGAATATTTTTGACATTTTCCATCACTGTTTCAGGTACATTTGAAGAATACAGAAATAGAAAATACCAAGCTTGTGTCAGAGGTCCAGACTTTAAAGAATTTAGATGGGAACAAAGAAAACATGATTACTCATTTCAAAGAAGAGATTAGCAGACTACAGTTCTCTTTGGCTGAAAAGGAGAATCTGCAAAGGACCTTCTTGCTTACAACCTCAAGTAAGGTAAGTACTTTTGCAATATGCATTTGAAGATTGTAAAGTATTATCTCTGTTAAATGTATACAGTGTGGTTTTTATTTTTACTCTTTACTCCCCTCAACTTCTGTTTTGGAAAAGTTCAGACTTATAGAAGAGTTGAAAGAACAGAAGAATGAATACATATATCCTTCAGTATTTTGCCACCTTTATCTCCCCCATTTATATGCCTCCTACAAGCTATTTGAAAGTCAGCTGTAGGCATTGACATTTCATCCTAAATATTTTTGAGTCTCTCTTATCAACAGTTATATTCTTCTGTAGATCGATAATACCTAAGAAATGTCACCTAAGAAATTTTATATTGATATGATAATAGTCATACTTGTATATGGGGCTTCCCAGGTGGTGCTAGTGGTAAAGAATCCATCTGCCAGTGCAGGAGACATGAGACGTGGGTTTGATCCCTGGGTTGTGAAGATCCCCTAGAGTATAGGAAATGGCAACCTACTCCAGTATTCTTGCCTGGAAAAATTCCAGGTCCAGAGGATTTTGGTGGTCCATGGGGTCTCAGAACAATCCATGGGGTCACAAAAGAGTTGGACACTACTGAGCACACGTGCGCACACGCAGGCACACACACACATGTACGTAGTTTTAGTCCACATTGAAATTTGTCCACTTATATTTTTGTATAACCTTTACAATTTCTTGATCCTGGGTAGTCAGAAATCATAAATTAATGATTATTATTATGTTCTTTTCTGCTTTAATACAGAACAGTGTCCTTATACATTTTGTCTGTGATGACATTGATAGTTTTGAAGAATTCAGACTTGTCTGAGAGAGAGTCCTATATTCTAGTTTTGTCTATTGTTTCCTCATGACTAGATTCCAGTTAGATATTTTTGGCAAGAAAAAGATGTTTTGTACATTCTGTTGCAGTTACATCAGAAGTCATATAATACCAATTCCTTTCTTTCTGATGTTAGGTTTAATCTGTTGTTTAAAGTTACGTCTGCTTATCTCTCCGTTACGTTGGTGTCTTTCCTTCTTTGTGATTTACTGAATAATCTGTGGGATAATACTTCAAGATCATGTGACCATCCTACTCCGCAATACTCTATGACCAGTGTTTTTTTATACTTCAGTGATCCTTACCTGTATCAGTTATTACATTAATGATTGCAAAGTGGTCATTTAAAAAATTGTCATTCCCTCTATGTTTATTAGTAGGTATTCTTTTATAATGTTGTGGTTCCCTTTTGTCCTATTCCTTTTTTTTTAAAATCACTATAGACTCCTTGATTATTTTTTGTTCAGTATATTAATACATTATACATCATTATTCTTATTTGTACTCAAGTTGTCCTATAGCTATAGCTTAGCCTTTTCAGACCTACATTTGTATCTTTCTGATATATTCCCCCTAATGCTTTGTATACTTCCTTGTTTTGTGGTTAGAACTTTGTGTTAGGTTTTAGTTTTAGGTTCAGACCTAAATCTGGTATTACCAATTTCTCCAAAGAGCCTGATTTTTTTTTTTTACATTTGAGAAAGGTATTTTGAAACCAAGAACTGAATTCTTTTGCTACTTTGTATTTTAATTAGATATTTTAAGTCTTAAATTTATATTGATATCTCCAATTCAAATCCAGTACTTCCTAGGGGTCTTCTTTATCTTCCTCCTTTCCATACTTATGTATACCTTCTCCCAGCTTCCAAAAGTGAAAGTGACTCATTTATGTCCAACTCTTTGCGACCCCATGGACTATACAATCCATGGAATTCTCCAGGCCAGAATACTAGAGTGGGTAGCCTTTCCCTTCTCCAGGGGATCTTCCCAACCCAGGGGTGGAACTCAGGTCTCTTGCTTTTGCAGGCAGATTCTTTTCCAGCTGGGCACAAGGGAAGCCCAAGAATACTGGAGTGGGTAGCCTTTCCCTTCTCCAGTGGATCTTTCTGACCCAGGAATCGAACTATCTCCTGTAATGCTATCTCCTGCATTACAGGCAGATTCTTTACCAACTAAGCTATCAGGGAAGCCCCTGCAGCTTTCAAATGTTACATTTATTCATGTTGTCTGAGCAGCCTCCCTGGTGACTTGGATGATAACTTCCTGAAATGCAGGAGACCCGGGTTTTGATCTCTGGGTTAGGAAAATCCCCTGAGGAAAGAAATGGCTACTCACTCCATTCTTGCCTGGAGGATCCCATGAACAGAGGATCCGAGGGCTATACAGTCCATGGACCTGCAACAATTGAGTGACTAACACTTTAACTTTTTCAACTAGCTGCACACACCATTAGTTTCAGAATTATTAACTCAACACCATTTCCATCAGTATCTCTGCTAAATAATAACTTAAGATCTTTCCAGATTTTATCTTAAAATATATTTCACTAAGGACGTAGAGAGTTCAGTTCATTCGCTCAGTCATGTCTGACTCTTTGCAACCCCATGAACAGCAGCATTGCCAGGCTTCCCTGTCCATCACCAACTCCCGGAGCTTGCTCAAACTCACGTCCGTCTAGCCGGTGATGCCATCCAACCATCTCATCTTCTGTTGTCACCTTCTCCTCCTGCCTTCAATCTTGCCCAGCGTCAGGGTCTTTTCCAGTGAGTCAGTTCTTCGTATCAGGTGGCTGAAGTATTGGAGTTTCAGCTTCAGCATTGGTCCTTAAAATGAATTCAGGACTGATTTCCTTTAGGATTGACTGGTTTGATCTTCCTTCAGTCCGAGGGACTCCCAAGAGTCTTCACCAACACCACAGTTCAAAAGCCTCAATTCTTTGGCACTCAGCTTTCTTTATTGTCCAGCTCTATATTGGCACGGGCTCTGGGTGCAGCAGACTTGAGTCACACAGCATGTGGCGTAAGGATGTATATACAGAGTACCAGGTTCAAAAGTTACTTGAATTAATTTTTTTAAACATTTATGTATGCATTGTAATACAGTTCAGTTTTTTGTTTTTATTCTCGTAATCTTTTGTTTATTTCTTAAATATATAAAATAATTATATCATTTAGAAGTCAAAATGAAATTAAAAATTTACTTTTCCTTAAAAACCCTTTCTTGGGGTGGGAAGAAGGTTCAAGAGGGAGGGAACATATGTATACCTGTGACTTATTCATGTTGATGAATGGCAGAAACCAACACGATGTTGTAATTATCCTCCAATTAAAAATAAATTATAAAAACCCTTTCTTATCGGTTTCCATAGGTAAAACATTTTCATTAGTTTCCAGTATATTCTTTGTGTTTGTTTTTACAAAAATAAACTTGGTGCATGTGTGTGCATGCACATACCCTTCTCTGTCTCCTTTCTTTAAGTGAAAGTCTCTCAGTTGTGTCTGACTCTTTGCGACCCCGTGGACTATACAAGTCCATGGAATTCTGCAGGCCAGAATACTGGAGTGGGTAGCCTTTCCCTTCTCCAGGGCATCTTCCCAACCCGGGGATCAAACCCAGGTCTTGCACATTGCAGGTGGATTCTTTACCATCTGAGCCACAAGGGAAGCCCCCTTTCTTTAAAGGGGATCCTGTTTATGCTTTTTCACTTTGCTTTTCTTCAATGAACTATATATAGATGGGAAGTCATTCCCTATCAGTTTAGAGATCTTCCCATTTAAAAAAAAAAATGGGTATATAATACTATGTTGTATAAATTTAATTTGATTTACTCATTATAATTGGAATAGTTTTATGGGGTTTTCAGTAGTTTGCTATTGAATACACTCAGATATAGTTAATGTGATACCTAAAACATCAGATATGCGTGACATTTAGGATTAATGGTTAAGACCCTAGTTACTTTTCAGGGTATTGAATGTAGCAGATTGCAAATGGAAATGTGAGAAATATGTTTGCTTGTTAGTTTTTATTTAATATTTGCTAAGATTGCTGGGAGAAATATCAATAACCTCAGATATGCAGATGACACCACCCTTATGGCAGAAAGTGAAGAGGAACTAAAAAGCCTCTTGATGAAAGTGAAAGAGGAGAGTGAAAAAGTTGGCTTAAAGCTCAACATTCAGAAAACTAAGATCATGGCATCTGGTTCCATCACTTCATGGGAAATAGATGGGGAAACAATGGAAACAGTGTCAGACTTTATTTTTTTGGGCTCCACAATTACTGCAGATGGTAATTGCAGCCATGAAATTAAAAGACGCTTACTCCTTGGAATGAAAGCTATGACCAACCTAGATAGCATATTAAAAAGCAGAGGGAAAAAAAAAAGCAAAGACGTTACTTTGCCAGTAAAGGTCCGTCTAGTCAAGGCTATGGTTTTTCCAGTGGTCATGTATGGATGTGAGAGTTGGACTGCGAAGAAAGTTAAGCGCCGAAGAATTGATGCTTTTGAATTGTGGTGTTGGAGAAGACTCTTGAGAGGCTCTTGGACTGCAAGGAGATCCAACCAGTCCATCCTAAAGGAGATCAGTCCTGGGTGTTCATTGGAAGAATTGATGTTGAAGCTGAAACTCCAATACTTTGGCCACCTCATGCGAAGAGTTGACTCATTGGAAAAGACCCTGATGCTGGGAGGGATTGGGGGGCAGGAGGAGAAGGGGATGACAGAGGATGAGATGGCTGGATGGCATCACCGACTTGATAGACATGAGTTTGAGTAAACTCTGGGAGTTGGTGATGGACAGGGAGGCCTGGAGTGCTGCAGTTCAAGGGGTCGCAAAGAGTCGGAGACGACTGAGAGACTAGACTGAATTGAACTGAAGATGCCACTTAAGCAAGACTTCTGTGAGGAAAAACAAGAGTAAAAATATGTGGAGAAAGTGATTCCTAATTGTTAAAACTTTTTTAAAAAGTATAAAAGCAATACAAGATCATGGTTATAAAAGAAATTCAAGTAGTATGTGAGAGTACAAGATAAAAGTAGCTCTTATTTCCCAGATATATCATTATAGAATTTCTAATTTTCCTAGAAATCTGAATGTTTGTGTAATATTTATACTTTAACAAAAATGTGAGTATATATAGTGTTACAAAAACTTTAAAAATTGATAGACTGTCTGGACATCTTGCAGTATGAGTACACATGCAGATTTTCCTCATTCATTAGAACAGCTTAGTGGGGAATTCCCTAGTGGTCCAGTGGTTAGGAATCCACGCTTCTCCACTGGCGGGAACCCAGGTTTAATCCCTGGAACTCAGATCCTACAAGCTGCACGGACCAAAATAAAAAGTACAACAACAGCTTTGTAATTTCTCTCTCTATTTTAGCTATATAGTATGTAATGTTTTTTAGTTGTGTACAATTCTTAGGTATTATAAAAGCATGATGCAGTAAACATTCTTGTATAGGTATCTAGGCACATGAATAAATCTGTGGAATAAATTCCTCAAAGTACAGTTGCCAGTTTGAGTTTTTAAATTTTCATAATTCAAATGCCTTTCCAAAAAATTAATATCAGCTGTGTATGACATATACTACTGCTAGTAATGGCTGCATAGGTTTTCATTTTATGGAGGGTATATCATAGTTTATAACAATTCTCATGTTGTTAGAGAAGAGATTTTTTATTTTTAATAATTTTTTGTAATCTTAATATTTTACTTGATCCCTGCAAAACTAACCCTGCCAAACTAAAGCTGTATTTAGGAACTCATGAAAATAAAATTGATCAAAAGCCATGTGTTTTTCAAAGGTGTTGGTGAATGTTTCAAAAATCTGATAAAGGCTATATCACTTGCAGATAATAATGAACCCACATATTTGGAGATGTTACAATTTTCCTAAACCATCCAAATATTACAGTATTAATTGGTTTTCAGTCTTAGTTTGAAAGAGGAGGTATGATATTTGTTTTACCTTCTTGGACTATTGATGAGTTGAACATTTTTTTTCTATGCATAATAGCTATTTAAAGAAATTCATACCTTTCTCCAGATTTCTTTTTTCTTTTGTTTAAAATATTTCATTTCTTATTGATTAGAAAATATTTTCAATGCTTTTTCCCTTTTGGCATATAGAAACTGATAACATATATTAGCTTTATTAATGTTATACTAGAAAGATTCTCTTCACCTAGCATTACATAAATAATCATACACATTTCCTTCTAAGGAGCTAACAATTTAAAAACAGAAAGGTTGCACTTTTTCTGAGTTTATTTCTAGAATAAAGAGGAATGTTGGAATAAGCTAGATTTATTGAGCTTGTATTGTCTTGTTTATATTACAGAAAGTGGCACTTTTAACTTTTCAAAGATACTTTTAGGTTTGGTGAAAGGTGCTAAATATAGGTTAGATCATAGGAAACATTTTTTTAACCAAAATTTTTGGAGTTACAATGAAGTTTTTATAATTACTGTTATTATTATGAAAAATGAGGGCTAGCAGTTCTAGCTGGAGAGATTCTGAGAGACAGAAGCCTCCATTTGAGTCTCTGTTTAGCCAAGAGTGTGAGCATTGGTTATATTACTTGACTTCTGTATTTCAGTGTCCTGAATTACATATATAGTGATAGTACTGACACCCAGTGCATAGGGTTGCTCTATGGGGATCTCTAAAACAAAGTCACATCTCAGATTTTTTATAGACATATATGAAGAAGAGGGAGGCAGAGGATAAGATGGTTAGATAGCATCACTGACTTAATGGACATGAATGTGAGCAAACTCTGGGAGATAGTGAATAACAGGGACGTCTGGTGTGCTACAGCCCATAGGCTGCAAAGAGTTGGACCCTACTTACAGCAACTGAACAAACAACAGCAATACTTCATTTTAGTCATGAATAGAAAAGCAATATTTAATTTAAAATTTTAGATAGTTGAAATAAACATCGTTTCTGCTTCTGTTTTTTACTTAAATGGTTTAATTACAAATACATTTATCTGCCTTTCTTCAGGAAGATACATTGATTTTAAAGGAGCAACTTCGTAAAGCCGAAGAACAGATTCAGGCAACTCGGCAAGAAGTTGTCTTTCTGGCTAAAGAACTTAGTGATGCTGTAAATGTGCGGGATAAAACAATGGCAGATCTGCATACTGCACGCTTGGAAAATGAGAAAGTAAAAAAGCAGTTAACTGATGCACTGGCAGAGCTTAAACTAAGTGCTGTGAATAAAGATCAGGTAAAGCCAGTTAATTTTGAATTTCCATTTTGGTCCAAAACTCATTATAAGCTTATGAAAGAGGATGAGTTATGCTGAAGTAATTGAGGTCAGATTCCTGGTCACAGAATTTTAAATTTCCATTCATTTTGTTTAGTCATTGTAACTTCTTCGGTTGAAATTAATACAGGTTTTTAGAAAACTTTCTGTAAGCAAATTCCTAATGATTAGTAAAAACTGCTCTGATAACAGGTATATATTGCTTTGTTTAGAATTTCTTATTTACTTGCAGCATAAGATGGTACTATGGTTATTTAACAGAGTATTGCTTACTTCTCAGGAGGTAGATGATTCTTTTCTAGTGTTTTTCTTTAATGAACCTTAGTCCTTGGAATATAAAGCTGAAATTATTAGGAGAGCTAATGTGACGGTAGCCAAAACTCCAAAACAACATTAATTGTCAAGAGAGAAAAAATTGAAAATGAAGTTGGATTTACTACCACATTATGAAGTATAAGATTTTTATGTTTCTCTTAGAGAAAAAGTTTGTTTGTTTCTTAGGAAAAGACTGACACACTGGAACATGAACTGAGAAGAGAAGTTGAGGATCTGAAACTTCGTCTTCAGATGGCAGCAGATCATTATAAAGAGAAATTCAAGGAATGCCAAAGGCTCCAAAAACAAATAAATAAACTTTCAGACCAATCGGTAAGTATAATTCATCATAGTAAAATAATTCCTTCATCAGTGTTTTTGTTTGAAAATCAGACTTATAATATTATACCTTTTGAATATAATTTCTCTCTGCTTGATGTCACATTATTGGTCCAATATTGTTGTGATACATTTTTTTTTTTAAATTTGTAATTTTTATTTGTTGGAGAAATAAAATGTCCTCTTGTAACATTTAGTCAGTAAAGGGATGTGTGTAACTTTTGATCTTTGACCTTTAAGACAGCAATAGCTTTGTGGACTTCCAGGATTTATTTATAAGATACGTAGTTACTGAAGGAAGGATAGATATGCACCTCATTTAACAGTTGATTGTTAACAATTTTGAATAGGCTAATAGCAATAGTGTCTGCACAAAGAAAATTGGGAGTCAGCAGAAAGTGAATGATGCCTCAATAAACACAGACCCAGCTACGACTGCCTCTACTCTGGATGTAAAGTCACCGCCTTCTACAGGTAGAAATCTTTTAGACTTTTTGTATAAAGTGTTCTGCCTTGAAAAATGTTTATGCTTGTTTATACTGCCTGTTTCATGTGTAAGAATTTTAGGAAGCTTGTAAAAAATTCTTGTAAGTCAGGGATTGAGGCAAAGGGAAAGTAAAGGTCTAAAAGTCATCCATGTGGTGAATATACAAAATATGAGTGTGAACTCATGTTTTATCTTTGTGATCGTGTTCTCAAGTGTTAATTAAATGAGCTGGTGTTTTTAAGTGCAAATGCTTATGATATTTGGTCTGTAGGAAAAGAGCTAAGAATTGCAATTTTAATTTTAGCTAGCTAAAATAGCAAATTTAAAAAATAATTTTTAATTAATATTTCCCTAAATCTGTGGCATTTTGAACCATTTATGACACTTTAATTGTACACTTCTGTGGGGGGACACTTAAAAATCCCTTTAGTTCTAGTCACATTTCTTTTTTGCTTTGTTTTGTTTTGGCTGCTTTGCGTCATTAGAGTATTTTCCTTGTTAGTACACCTGTTGGTGGATAAGTTAAAATTTTTATTAGCTTATTAACTTTTAGAATGGATTAGAGAGACATAGTGAGTACATGAACAACATGAAAATTTAACTCTAGGTTTTCGCTTGTCCTAGTGTCTTTTTTTTTCCACCTTATGTTAAAGATGACACAATAACAAAAATAAATACTAGAGTATATAAAAGTATGTTTAATTTTGTAATGTTTGGGGCAGTTGATGTTTTAGACTTAGTAAATGTATTGTAAGTTTTGTATACTGTTAAATGTTTGGATTCAACTGCTGTGGAAATAGGAATCCTGCCTTTCATTTCTATATGGTATTAATAGAAGTACAGAGAAAGGTGTTATATTAAGACTTACTGAATAGTATGAAGGATTAGAAAAATGGCTTAAAATCTTTTCTCAAAGAGTGTGGCTTTCCTGTATATCTTATGTAATAAATATATAAAGAACAATTTTGTGGCATTTTAGAACTATTTTTAGCTAGCTAAAAATCATCTTTTTCTTTATTGAATGTGAACTTGGTTCTAGCCAAACTGCCGTGAAATTCTCATCTAATGTTTATATTGTTCCTTTGTTTACTTAGTGTATGAATAGATGTTTTGGAAGAAATGTTTTAAAATAGATGTTTCTCTCCTTTAGGATTCCATTTATTTCACAGTATATTGACCCTCAAGTCAGGAAGCTAATATACAGAGCAAAGTAATTTTTAGTAATCTTATTTTCTGCCTTGTTACAGCTGAGACAGATTTTGACACACTAACTAAGGGACAAGTCTCTGAAATGACCAAAGAAATTGCTGACAAAACAGAAAAATATAATAAATGTAAACAACTCTTGCAGGTAAGCTAATTCCCTTGTAAGGAAGAGATTTATCAAATGTAATGGTTTAGCTTATCTTTATTGTTTTGATTGGGTATCCCAGAGTTGGTTTCTTTCTCTTGTTTTTTGGGGGGGGTTGCGGGGGGTGGCTCTAGGACACACGGGCTTCAGTAGTTGCAGTACATAAGCTCTGTAGCTACAGCACATGGGCCTAGTTGCTCTGAGATCTTCCTGCACCAGGGATCAAACTGGTGTCCCCTGCATTTGCAGGTGGATTCTTTACCACTGAGCCACCAGGGAAGCTCCCAGAGTTTCTTTACACTTGTATCCTGATGTTTAGTTTCACTTTTGAAGTGGGGGATGTTCTGTGTACTTATTCATGTAGGCATGTGTGTAAAATCATAATCTAGGGAATTCCCTGGTGGTCCAGTGGGTTAGGTCTTGGTGCTTTCACTGCTATGGGCATGGGTTCGACCTGTGGTTGAGGAACCAAGATCCTGCAAATGTTACATTGGGGTTGGGGGGGGATATCGTGATTGTTTTCTGTTCCCCTAATGTCCTTCTCTTGATAATGGGCAAAGGATTAATTGCAGTTGGATGTTGTCTGTCTTCTAAGGATACATGAAAAATCTCTGAACTGCATAAAAGGAAAGTACTCTTTTTTTTACATATACTGTAATAATAGCAAAGACTTTCACCACATCCTAAAGTGAGAAGATTTGTAAAGTGGAAAAAGGGGATGTTGACCAAGTGAATGGTTGCTACTGTAATAGTAAAACGTTTAAACTTTGCAATTGTCCTAGTAGCATTCACTCTGGAGTATTTAAAGGACAAAGGGAAAATGCTTTTCATTTGTATCTGATTTGGGGAAGGGAGGAAGAGGTGTTTTGTGTAGTATGTGTAGTATCTCCTGCCAGTGCAGGAGATACAAGAGACGCAGTTCAGTCCATGGGTCAGGAAGATCTCCTGAAGGGGAGGACTTGGCAACCCACTCAAGTATTCTTGCCTGGAGAATCCCATGGACAGAGGGTGGGCTACAATCCGTAGGGTCACAAAGAGTCAGAGAGGACTGAAATGACTTAACACACTATAGTAATTAATGTAAAATATTTTATGTTTCAGTCTTAATAATAATTTAATGTAATCCTTTAATAAGACTTTAAGCTGAGCATTTTTGTTGCTTCAGAAGATCCTTTTGTAGAGGACTGATTACGCTTGAGGTCAAAATAGTTGTTTATAAGGGACTAAACTATTTTTCAGTAAGTGAGACAATTTTGGATGAATATTTTAAAAAACCTCATTGTATTATCAAAAGGAAGATAGAATGTTTTTTTCCAGCTAAAAACTTCCTCAGGGTTTTGGTTTTTTTTTTAAATTGTGTTGTAGTACAATTGAAATTCAGTAAACTGCACATATTTAAGGTCTGCAGTTTGTTTAGTTTTGCTGTATTTATAGTTGTGGAGCTATCACAATATCATGCTAATGAACATTTCCACTACCTTCAAATCTTTTTTTGTACCCTTTTGCAACTCATCCCTCCGTCTCTCCCCTTTCCTGGGAAACCATTGGCTTGCTTTCTGCCACTGTAGATTAGCCTACCTTTTGTATAGTTTCTGTAAATAGAATCATATGTATGCTCTTCTTTTCCTGACCCCTTTCAGCACAGTTATTTTGAGATGTACTTATGTATTTGCCTGTTATTGGTAATTCATTCCTTTTTATTATGAGAGTTCATTTTCTTGCCATTTAAAAAATTGTTTTCATCTTATTACTGAGTTGTGTTCTTTATTCCAGATACAAATATTTTGTCTGATGTGTGTGATTTTATCCTAGTCTGTGGCTTGCCTTTTTATTTCCTTAATGGTGTTTTTGGAGAAGGAATTGGCAACCCACTCCAGTGCTCTTGCCTGGAAAATTCATGGATAGAGGAGCCTGGTAGGCTACAGTCCATGGCGTTGCAAAGAGTCGGACATGACTGAGTGACTTCACTTTCTTTCTGTAGTTCCTTTTGGAGAAGGAAATGGCAGCCCACTCCAGTGTTCTTGCCTGGAGAGTCCCATGGACAGAGGGGCCTGGTGGGCTACAGTCTATGGGGTTGTCAAGAGTCAGACACGACTAAACAAATAACACACACACACAATGGTGTTTTTAGAAAAAGTTTTAGTTTTGCTGAAGTATAGATTCTTAATTTATTCTTTATGTTTTATTGTTTTAATTTTCTAAGAAAAAATTTACTAACTGAACTTGTAATGATTTTTTTCTTGTCTTCTGTTAAGTTTTGTAGTCTTAGAGTCTTTTAAGTCTGTTAACTATTTTATTTTTGTGAATGGTGAGTTGTGGTATATTTAGTAAGGATATTCAGTTGATCCAGCATTATTTGTTGAAAAGACTTTTTTTTCTCTATTGAATTGCTCAAAGCATAAAGCATATTGCTTTCTTTATTTTTTAATTAAAATTTTTTTTTAATTGACTGTGCTGTGAGGCTTGTGGGATCTTGATTCCCTTACCCGGGATCGAACCATGCCCCTTGCAGTGGAAGCATGGAGCCCTAACCACTGGACCACTAGGGAATTTCTAGCATAAAGCATATTTAAACATTTTTTTCCTTACACAAAACACTCAAAATGAAATTGGCCAAGTTACCTTTTCATCATGTTTTAAAACTCCTTTCCTTTGACATTCTAAGTTGTAGAGAAGAGCAGTGTTTAAGAAATCTACCTACAATGGCATTATAAATATGTGATTTTTATTACCTCCTGAGCTTCCCAGGTTGCACTAGTGGTAAAGAGCCCACCTACCAGTGCAGGAGACATAAGAAATGCATGTTCAGTCCCTGGGTTGGCAAGATCCCCTGGAGGAGGGCATGGTAACCCACTCCAATGTTCTTGCCTTGGGAATCCCATGGACAGAGGAGCCTGGCCGGGTTACAGTCCAAAAGGTCACAAAGAGTTGGACACAACTGAAGCGACTTTGCATGCGTACTTGCTTGCTTTACCTCCTTTGTAAAAGTAATATATGTTTATTGTGACATATTAGGCATTATGGAAATAAAGAATAACGATGGTGAAGAAATACCATTATGATCCTGATCCTCAGAAATAAGAGCTGTTAATAGTTTGGTATATTGAATTCCCTGGCAGTCCACAGGACTCTGACCTTTCACTGCTGAGGGGCCAGGTTTCAATCCCTGGTCGGGGAACTAAGATAGTCCCCACAAGCTTGCACAGTGCAACCAAAAAAATTATTTTTTTTTGTTTATCTTTTTCTACATAGATATCATATAAAACTGTGTTAAACAACTTTTGAAGCAAACATGGAATTATACTGTATATTCCGTTTTGGAACTTGATCTTTTCAATTAACATATCTTGACATTTTTCCTTGTTAATTTGTAGATCCATTTGTTCTTTTTTGGTAAATACATTCTGTTCCATTGTATGAATATAAAATGATTTATCAAGTCTTCCAATGACGGACATTTTGGTTATTTCAGTTTTTATACCTTTACAATAGTGTTAGAGTAAACATTCAGCACAAGTATGTTTGTGTAGATATTGGCTGTATATGGATTTAAAATCTTTTGGTAATTATACTAATTTCGTTTAGGATGAGAAAACAAAGTGCAATAAATACGCTGATGAACTTGCAAAAATGGAGCTGAAATGGAAAGAACAAGTGAAAATTGCTGAAAACATAAAACTAGAACTAGGTGAAGTAGTGGACAATTACAAAGTAAGTTTGATATTTATATAACTTGAAGCATAATACCTGATACTTCTGAAAAGTGCTGTCTGTAATTTTGCCAGTCTAAAGTTTTAACATGGGTAATTGAGATAGTATTTTCATAATATAGATAAATATGTACTAGGTAGTTATGTTGAATATAATTCATTAACTGTGAACTGAGAAAGTGGTTACCCATATGCATTGTGCTTGTGGCTTTCATTTTGTGTATTCATATGGACATGACTGAAGCAATTTAATTTAATACTAGCAACATGGCTATTAAAATTATATCTCTAAATCATGCTTAGATTTTAAAATGAATACTGATCATTTCATAATCCTTGTTCACTTAAAATGTTTGTGAAATTATTTTAGAGCTTTGGTGTTTTTCTGGGAGTATAATAAGATTGATCAGTAATTTAAAAAATTTATGTAAAGGTTTGAGAATTTATAACCAAAATGTGTTACTTCTGATCATTAATGATTATGCAGGCAGATTCTTTACTGTCTGAGCCATCAGGGAAGCCCAAGCAATACACTCTTAATTCAGTTCAGTTGCTCAGTCGTGTCCGACTCTTTGTGACCCCATGAACCACAGCACACCAGGTCTCCCTGCCCATCACCAACTCTCGGAGTCCACCCAGACCCATGTCCATCGAGTCAGTGATGCCATCCAACCATCTCATCCTCTGTCATCCCCTTCTCCTCCAGCCCTTAATCTTTCCCAGCATCAGGGTCTTTTTGAATGAGTCAGCTCTTGGCATGAGGTGGCCAAAGTACTGGAGTTTCAGCTTCAACATCAGTCCTTCCAGTGAACACCCAGGACTGATCTCCTTTAGGATGGACTGGTTGGATCTCCTTGCAGTCCAAGGGACTCTCAAGAGTCTTCTCCAACACCAGTTCAAAAGCATTAATTCTTCATTGCTCAGTTTCGTTTATGGTTCAACTCTCACATCCATACATGACTACTGGAAAAACCGTAGCTTTTGACTATATGGACCTTTGTTGGCTAAGTAGTATCTCTGCTTTTTCATATGCTGTTTAGGTTTGTCATAGCTTTTCTTCCAAAGAGCAAGCGTCTTTTTAATATAATGGGTGCAGTCACCATCTGCAGTGATTTTGGAGCCTAAGAAAATAGTCACTGTTGTCATTGTTTCCCCATCCATTTGCCATGAAGTAATGCAGCCGGATGCCATGGTATTAGTTTTCTGAATATTGAGTTTTAAGCCAGCTTTTTCACTCTTCTCGTTCACCTTCATCAAGAGGCTCTTTAGTTCCTCTTTACTTTGTGCCAATAGGGAGGTATCATCTGCCTATCTGAGGTTACTGATATTTCTCCCGGCAATCTTGATTCCAGCTTGTGCTTCATCCAGCCTGGTATTTCACATGATGTACTCTGCATTATGTGGGTGATCATATAAATAAGATACAATGCTATGCTTACAGAGTTTATAATCTAGTAGGGAATGCTGGATGTGAAATGGTGATATGATTCTTTCACATTCATGACCTAGGTAACCATCATAATATTTTTATTTTATGAATATTATTTTATTATAAAAATCAGTGTTCAGATTAAACATCATATTTATGGCTGTACAACTGGTAAAGGTGCTTGATTTTTTGTTTAGTGCCCTGCCTATTATTTTGTGCTGTTTAGACACAAACATCCATGAGACAGAGCAAAGTGTGATGAAGTTCTACATAAACTACAAGTCTTAAGTATTATAGGGCTGTTTCCAATGGAATATTTAGGAGTTAGACATTATGGAGAAACTAGACCTGTGAATACACAGATGAACTGTACAAAAAATGTTTTAATGGCCCAGGTAACTGTGATGGTGTAATCTCACCTAGAGCCAGACATGCTGGAGTGTGAAGTCAAGTGGGCCTTAGGAAGCATTACCATGGACAGAGCTAGTGGAGATGATGGATTTCCAGCTGAGCTATTTCAAATTCTAAAAGATGATGCTGTTAAAGTGCACTCATTATGCCACCAAATTTGGAAAACTCAACAGTGGCCACAGGACTGGAAAAGGTCAGTTTTCATTCCAGTCCCAAAGAAGGGCAGCGCCAAAGAATGTTCAAACTACTGTGCAAATACACTCATTTCACATGCTATCAAGGTAATGCTCAAAAATCCTTCAAGCTAGGCTTCAACAGTACGTGAACGGAGAACTTCCAGATGTGCAGGCTGGATTTAGAAAAGACAGAAGAACCAGAGATCAAATTGCCAAAATTTGTTGGATCATGGAGAAAGCAAGGAAGTTCCAGAAAAACATCTTCACTGACTATGCTAAGGCCTTTGACAGTGTGGATCACAGCAAACAGTGGGAAATTCTTTTTTTTGGGGGGGGGGGAGGTGAGTTCTTAAAGAGATGGGAATACCATACCATCTTATCTGACTGCTGAGAAACCTGTATGCAGATCAAGAAGCAAGAGAACCAGACATGAAACAAGATTGGTTCAAAATTGGGAAAGGAGTACTTCAAGGCTGTACATTGCCACCCTGCTTATTTAACTTCTGTGCAGAGTACATTATGGGAAATGCCAGGCTGGATGAAGCTCAAGCTGAAATCAAGATTCCCAGGAGAAATATCAGTAACCGCAGATATGCAGATGACACCTCCCTATTGGCAGAAAGTGAAGAGGAACTAAAGGCCTCTTAATGAAGGTTAAAAAAAAAAGTGAAAGCTGGCTTAAAACCCAACATTCAAAAAACTAGGATCATGGCATCTGGTCCAGTCACTTCATGGCAAACAGATGGGGAGACAATGGAAACAGTGACAGATTATATTTTTGGGGGCTCCAAAATCACTGCAGACAGTGACTGAAGCTATGAAAATAAAAGATGCTTGCTCCTTGGAAGAAAAGCTATGACAAACTTAGACTGTATTAAAAAGCAGAGACATCGTTTTGCTGACTAAGGTCTATCTAGTCAAAGCTGTGGTTTTTCCAGTAGTCATGTAAGGATGTGAGAATTGAACCATAAAGAAAGCCGAGTGCTGAAGAATCTATGCTTTCAAACTGTGGTGCTGGAGAAGACTCTTGAGAGTCCTTTGGACATCAAATCAATCCTAAAGGAAATCAACCCTGAATATTCATTGGAAGGACTGATGCTGAAGCTCCAACACTTCGGTCACCTGATGCGATGAGCCAACTCATTTGAAAAGACCCTGATTCTGGGAAGGATTGAAGGTAGGAGGAGAAGAGGACAACAGGATGAGATGGTTGGATGGCATAACCGACTCAATGGACATGAGTTTGAGCAAACTCCAGGAGATGGTGATGGACAGGGAAGCCTGGTGTACTGCAGTCCACGGGGTTGCAAAGAGTTGGATGCAGCTGACTGAACAACAACAACAAAGACCTGTCAAAGACCATACAGGAAGGGAGGATATAACAGAGATGGCAAAGGAAAGAAGCATCTTTGAACGGATGGAAAAGAATTAATATCGGTTTGGAGGTCAGAAGTAGAGAGCATAATCTGGGAGCTGTAACAGTCTTGAGTAATAGGTCTTTAATAATTGTAATATCTGTGATGGAGTAGATCATTGTGAAAGATAGGTTGAATCCAGATTTGGGGGAACTGTTTGGAGTGTGGGTGCTATTTGCTGTTAAATATTTTCTAGGAGAAAAAGAGACCCAACCAGAGTGGGTCTTAATGAAAATAATTTGGTAGCATGGAGAGGATTTCCAGGTGGGAAGGATTTTTGAAGGTAAGAAAATTAGGTACAGATATGCTTGGAATGAGCTGATAAAGGACTACCTCTTTTGGGTACCTTCCCCATTCATCATCCTTTGAATTTATTAAGGGAAGCTTTAAATCTTGGGAAAGAATGCGTGTGGCGCATAAGTTAATATTTGTGATTTATTCATATGAGCATGATAGTTGAAGGCATAGAAGAAAGGGAGTTTTCCAAGAATGCAGAGAGAAGAAGCCAAAGAAGAAACTGGAGAATACTTATAATTGTGAATAAGTGTACTTTAAAAAAGAGGATTAGAGGATGACAGTGTTGGCACCATTTCATAAAAGCCAGGAGAGAAGTTTTAAGAGTGAGGCATGTTCATAAAAAATGACAAGTAGCGGTCTCTACGTCGGAGCCCCGAGAATTTTTAATGAAATTGATTCACGAAACTGTAACCATTGAAGAATGGAACACAGGTCCATGGAACAATCACAGGTGTAGATGTCAGTATGAATACACATCTTAAAGCAGTGAAAATGACCCTGAAGAACAGAGAACCTGTACAGGTGGAAACACAGTATTCGAGGAAATAACATTCGGTATTTTATTCTACCAGACAGCTTACCTCTGGATACACTACTCTTGGGTGTGGAACCAAAGGTGAAGTCTAAGAAAAGGGAAGCTGTTGCACGAAGAGGCCGAGGAAGAGAGGGTCCTTGGCGATAATATATCTCAAGAGTACTATTTCAAAGTAGTAGGGAAGGAAGACTAATCCATGACACAGGAAGACTGTGAGGCCAAGGCAGAGGAATGTGAAGTCCTAAGTGATAATGTTCATGGAGCTTACTGTTTCACAGGGGTGGATGTTCAAGTTTTTTTGTACAGGCTTTGTTTGTTTGTAGCAGTTTTTAATAAACATAAATGTAACACACACAGACACACACACACAAAATGACAAGTAATTCAGGGACTTCCCTGACAGTGCAGTGGCTAGGTCTCTGCATTACCATTGCAGGGCATGCAGGTTCAGTCCCTAATCAAGGATCCAGGTTCCTGCATGCTGCAGAGTGGCAAAATAAAAAAAATAATCTTGAAACACATCAGAAACACAATAGTGATAAGTTCAGAGATACCAAAGAATAAGATCCAGAGGAAATACATGGATATGGTAATAGGATTTATTTTAATAGAAGGGTATAAACTAGCTCTTGAAGGGTGAAAAGAGGGTAGATGATGAAAAATAATTAATGATCATTTCTTTCTCTCCTCAGCTTCAGTTGGCAGAGAAAGAAAAAGAGATAAGTGGCCTAACTTCATATTGGGAAAACCTCTCCAGGGAGAAGGTACTAAATAATGTCCTTGAAAAATTTCATATGACACCGAATGATAAAACAGCTTTTTGAAGGGACATACATTTTACAGTTATATGAGGGTAATTTTTTCTTTTTAAGTTAAATGAAGAAAAGACAAACAGGTACAAAAAACGCCTTTTAGTTTTATAATATTTTAAAAATATTTTGATAGAAAAATGCTTAAGTGTCGAGACTTAGTTTGACTTTTGTTACGTGGTTTGGATTTAACAAATTTTAGTGTTCAAATTTATAAAAGTAAACATTTAAAATTATACTTAATGTATTTATTTGATTTTCTTTTGTAATAGGAAACATTTTAGGAGCTGTTTAATGATTTCTAGCATAACCTGACCTTCAGACAAAGCATATGTTTATAACATATAATGTACTGTAATGCAGCATTTCTCACAGTAGGGTCAAAAGGGTCTTGTTATGAATGATAAAAGACACTCCTATCACTGAGAAAATTCCAGAAGTTTTAGTAGGTCAGTGCCAGGAACTGGGGACAGGACCAAAAATATTTTTTATGTTACAGTATACATTTATGTATGTATGTATATAGGTATGTATGTACAATCTTCCCTCTGTGTCCTTGGGGTTGGTTTCTAGAGCCCCCTCTAAGGATGCCAGAATCCAAGGATGCTGAAGTCCCTTTGTGAAATGGTGTAGTACCACTGGCCCTGAGTATCCATGCATTCTGCATTGGCCGATTCAGAGGGCCAACTGTATTTTAAATTTACATTTGGGTATCTCTGTTCATCTGTGTGTTTATCTAATCTGATATTAATAGATACCATCTTCCTACTTGGTACTCATCAGTATGAGCTCTTTTTAGTAGTGGGTTAAGAATTTTTTGCTTTTCACGTAGTCCCATATTTGGCTAGTGGGAACACCTTCAAACTGGTCTCTGGTGTGCCCCAGTATCAAAAGGATGGTGTTGGTTTTTTGAGCACTTAATTTTTTTCTAGCGTTGCAAGATAGTCTCAAATGTTTATTTCACCATTCATCTTTGGAGTTGGCCATTTTTTATAAGAAAGAATCTGACATTAACTTCTCCAAGGAGTTCTGGTTGCTTATTATTGGGAAATGCTGCTTAGAACCCAGAATTCAGGCTCTGTGTATATCTTCATTATTCCTGGTGCCCGTTGCTTCTGGATCCTTTCAGTGCCAGAGCTGGGAAAGGTTTGTATTTTAGATATTGTGAATTCTAGTCCAACTCAACTAGTTCTTCCTTGCCTTTTTTTTAAAAAAGGCATTTTTAATAGAAGTTATTGCAGTAATTTCATCTAGCTACAGAGAGATGATCAGGATGAGGATGTTGGTTGTGTTGTTGTTCTTATTGTTTGCCATGCCATCTGGCTTGCAGGATCTTAGTTTCACACAGGGATCAAACCCAGGCCCTGGCAGTGGACTGGTAGAATCCTAACCACTAGATTGCCAGGGAAATCCTCCCTGTTTTCCTTAATTCCTATTTGTACACCTTTTCCTCAGTGAGAATCCTGTGCTCAATGGTGTCAGCACATTTAATCTATTCGGTAGTTCCAGTATCTCACATAAAACAAAGTTTCAGGACTGCTAGAGCTATGTCCACTAAGACAAGGAAACCTGTTATAAGAGTAGAATTCAATTCAAGATTGTTTGCAATTCTTCCCTCCCCAGCCCATCCCCGGGTTGTCAGTATAGTGTGTTTGAATGTTACTTTCTAGTTCTCTCCCCCTCACCCTCTCATCCTCCTCCCTGCCTTCAGTACTTGGGAACGTAAAATGACAGGTGGGTTAAAAAGATCTCTGGAAACAAACTGTGGGTTGTGCTGTGCGAGCTTAGTTGCTCAGTCATGTCCAGCTCTCTGCAGTCCCTGGAACCGTAGCCCGCCAGGCTCCTCTTGTCTGTTTTCCAGGCAAGAATATTGGAGTTGGGTTTCCTACTCCAGGGGATCTTCCCTACCCAGGGAGCGAGCCCATGTCTCTTGTGTGGATTCTTTACCACTAGTGCCACCTGGGAAGCCCTAAATGGTGGATTGAAGCTAATTAAAACAATAGGAGCACGAATGAAGAGTAAGAAAACAACTTTTTATTTCTGGTATGAGTTTTGGTCAAGTGTATTTCAAAGTTAAAGCAGTGATGACCTAATTAGATTTGACAGAAAGTTGACAAAATATGTATTTCAAATGCTTAAGACCACTTTGCGAAATATGAATTAAGTAATTTTTGGTAAGAAACCCAACTCCTAAGTGTATTTTGTGCTTGGAGTTACTAGCTCATGTTGGAGAGAAGCAATTAAGATACTTTATTTTTATACATTTTACATGTATAAAATATGTTTCATATATAAAAATATAACAAAATCATTATATATAGAATATATTTTATAGTTTTGTAGTTTCATATATGATAGTGAAAGTGCTGAATGGGTTATAACCATCTGTACATTTTGCTGAGTTACAGATGGCTCAAATCACAGAAAATAATATATAGTGACTTATTAATTATGCTGCAGTTTAGATAATCTTGCAAGACTCCAATCAGTCTGTTAGATGGGGCTCAGTCATCTTAATATAGACCTACTTATGAGCTCACTTGTTGCTGGGATTCAGTTCCTTGGGGGTTGTTCGATAAGTGCCATACTTCGTACTCTACCATCTTCCCATCTTCCACGAGGTCACTCCTTTCCTCTCTCTCTCTTTTTAATTCCTCTTCCCTCTGCTCTGTGTTTGACAGAAGTAAAAGATTATTCAAACCACAGGCAGGTAACCTTTTAAAAATGTAAAGTTGATACTTTTCCTTGCTTGAAGCTCCTTATGGGCCTCCCATGTACTTGTGCATTTAAGATAAATGACAACATTCTTTTTTGTTTGTGCTGTGTGGCCTGCAGGATCTTAGTTCCCTGACCAGGGGTTGAACCCATACCGTTGACAGTGAAACCATGGCGTCCTAACCACTGTACTACCAGGGAATCCCTCCATAATTCTTAGCATAGATTATAATCTTTTATATGACTAACCTCTCTCTCTCTCTCAACCCCTTTTAAGCCACAGTTTGTTTGATTCTCCTCTATTGTAGAATTCCTCTTAGTAGTAGTTCTGAGTCTTGAGCTTGCATCAGAATCATCTGTATGATTTGTTAAAGCACAGCTTTCTGGGTTCTATTCCCAGAGTTTCTGATTCGTAGGTCAGGGATGGGGCTTGAGATTTGCATTTCTGACAAGTTGCTGCTGATGGTGCTGCTCTGGCGATTGCATTTTGAGAACTGTTAACAGTTACTCGGGCCTTAAAACTCATGAATTGCTTTCTTGTTTCAGGGCCCTTGTTCATGGACTTTGCCAAGAATATTCTTGCCTAAATTCTTTGGTAGTTAACTTTAAACTAGAGAAGTCTGGGAAGAATTTAAACATATATAAGAAGAGAATAATGTAATGAACTCTGTTGTATTGCTCACCCAGCAATCAACAGATGTTACTTTACGACTATCTTATCAGTTCAACCGTTTTCCTTCTGTTTTAACCCAGTGGTATTTTTTTCAAGTATATCCCCAAATCTTTTAATATTTTCTTCTAAATATTTAAGTACTCCTACTACTCTTGACTTATGCTTTAAGTCTCAGGTTAAATGACTCTTCTTCAGAGAGGCCTTCTTTGACCTCTTGTTCTATTAGGTATCTCTGTTAAACTCACACCTTTGAATTGTACTTTTATTTTACAGCACTTACCATAATTTGTAACTAATACTTATTTCTGTACGTATTTCTCTTAATTAAAACGCCCTTCGCTTAATTATAAGGTCCATGAAGACAGGAATCATGTCTGTTTTATTCATCATTGTATTTGTAGTCTCTACTCCAGTGTTCTGGCCTGGAGAATTCCATGGACTGTATAGTCCACGGGATTGCAAAGAGTTGGACATGGCTGAGTGACTGTCACTCATAGTGTTTGATATTTGAAGTTAAATATTTGTTGAATGACTAAACAAATTAATGTTAATGGGTCAAACATAATTTATAGCATTTGCTTATAAAAACATTTGGTAAAAGAAATGTACTGGCATCAGCAGTTTTATTATCAGTTAATGCCCTAACGTGTCAGGAATGCAATAGAAGTAGGCCAGTTTGCTTTCTACTTCCTTTCTTCTTGAGTTACTCTTAATTTTCCTGCTAGTGACACTATAGTTTTATATTACTTTTAAAGAGTGTATTTATAAGAATTTCTGTTTGCTATTTCAGCAACTTGCTTAATGTTTGTCTTTTCCCAGTGTTTTTTTAGAACCCTTACTCCTCTTTAAGGTTAGGATTAAATTCTTATCCTTCAGCACTGAAACCTAGATCCAAATAGTGCCTGGGATAAACCAAATGATCATTAAGCGTTAGTTAAGTGAGTAAATGAAAGAAAAAAAAAATGAATCATCTAACAGAATGTGTATTTTACTTGTTTCCTGTTCATCTTCCCTGCTCTAGATACAGACTTCACATGAGCAGGAATTTTTGTGTTTTGGTTGTACCTGAATCTCTAGTGCCTGGAGAGCAGTGCCTGCCACATATTAGATACTCAATAAATATTTATTGAACATTGTTGTTGTTCAGTTGCCCAATTGTGTCAGACTTTTTGACCCCATGGACTGCAGCATGCCAGAATTCTCTTTTCCTCACCATCTCCCAAAGTTTGCCCAAGTTCATGTCCATTGCATTGGCAATGCTATCCAGCCATCTTATCCTCTGATGCCCTCTTCTTCTTCTGCCCTCAATCTTTCCCAGCATCAGGGACTTTTCCCGTGAGTCAGCTCTTCATATCAGATGACCAAAATACTAGGGCTTCAACTTCCGCATCAGCCCTTCCAGTGAGTATTCAGGGTTGATTTCCCTTAAGATTGACTGGTTTTATCTCCTTGCCATTCAGGGGACTCTCCAGCACCATGGTTTGAAGGCATCAATTCTTTGGCGCTTTGCCTTCTTTACGGTCCAGCTCTCCCAACCGTACGTTACCACTGGGAAGATCATAGCCTT